CAACATGATTCAGGGATTTACTGAATAATCCAGGCAAACAATAGAGAGGAGCTAAAGATAGCTCTCAGAATTATGGTTATAAGAATTAGGTAAAAATGATATAATTAATAAAAATTGGGAATATGAAAAAAGGATCTGATGTTATTTAGATTAATTTTGTATCTACACGATGTCAGGAGGATACTAAAGTTTACAAATGTCATGTGACAACTGATCCAGAAACCACTGCATCACCCAAATTCTCTGTTATTTAAGTATTACATCATTTCCAATGAATTTATTTATGCCAAAAATATATATTGATATATAATACGAATTGGGCACTATTGTAGGTGTTGGCAGAAAAGGTGTGAAAGCCCAAGTTTTACCTAGTAAACTAAAATTACTGAGACCACTATTAGGACTTTCCATAGGAATCTTATGAACATGATGAAGACATAGGTTGATTGCAGACAAAGCAGGACACTGGTAAGTGGTTGGATTGCCTATTCAGTGTGTGCTGATGAAGGGATTGCCATGAGCTTAATAAAATTCTCACCTAAGTTAGGACCTCAGCCTATTTTTTCAACTATGTTATCAATAATTTGGATAAAGAAGGAGAAAATGTATTCATCATAATTACTTTTGAAGGATGTGAGAAATATGAAATAGTATCAGATAAAATTGAACAAAGAGAAATAACAACTTGTACTTTGGGGAAAATATACTTGTGAAAGCCCACTAATGGAGTAATGAGACAGTCAAAAAGTTAATTTGATCATCAGTTTATTAGTAGAAATATAGTACATGAGCTGAGTGCTGAAAGTGCCAACCTATGAGTTAGACCTAGGCAATAGGATGCTCCCCTCTCCCTCCCCTGTCTTTGGAGTATACGTTCTGCCCACTGTTCCAACAGGGGGAACAATTTTCAAGGACACAGCTTTGAGAGAGCAATGTGTTGTTGATAATATCTGGATGGTGCATGTGACTGAACCCAATTCAGGCCTCTATATAAACTTTTTAAGATTCTGGTGGGAAGGTGTGGAGATCTATTTGTCTTGTGGCAATTACCCAAGAAAAGTCTCAATTCTCTTATTAAACTACGACCTATGCATCTAGAGTGGTCTGACTCTCTCTTTGGTCTCTCATCGCCCTCTATGTACAGGAGTCAGTTTACAGAAAAACAATTCCACACACATTAGACAACCCCTACTTTATGGTCTCAGTTGTGCATGTTATACTTTATAGAAGCATCCACACCAGACAGAGCAAAAACACTCAGAAAATCAGAGTATTGAAGGCTTGAAGTTGTAATACATGAGGAAGTAGTGATAAAAATGAGAATATGTATCTTGGGAAGTGTAGAATTATTTGGATAATATGATGGGACTGGGGTACCTACATGTTATAGCTTAAAATATTTTCAGCAAGGCTATGGCCAGGCTACATGACCTCTTGGAGTAGATCTAAAACCAAGGGGTGAAAACGTTAGAGCCACTTTTACAAAGAGTTGTGTTCTTCTGAATGTTTGTTTTCTTGATGAGTCTACCGAATCATTTGGCAGTTGTTATTGCATATTGTCAACAAATATAGTTTTGAATTAGATAATCTTATTTTATTTTATTTTAATTTTCAATTTATTGATTTTTTTAGAGAGAGAGAGGAAGGGAGAGAGAAAGAATATTCAATTTGTTGTTCCACTTATTTATGCATTCGCTGGTTGGTTCTTGTATGTGCCCTGATGGAGTTCGAACTCACAACTTCGGCATATCAAGATGACACTCTAACCAACTGAGCTAACTGCCCAGGGCAGATTAGATTACCTTTTCACCTTAAAAAAAAATATCCCTTGAATCCTTAGATTCTGTGATTTGTGACCTGAGGTGTCAAAGACTACATTCAAGGACTAAGATGTTTTCGATTCCTTTGAGTTTGGTTCCAGATGCTGGGGGTCCTCCCATGCTCCCCCCACTGTGCGTCCACTACCCTGGCTTTTCTTCAGAGCTCTCACAGGGTCTTCAGGGTCAATGAGAGACTCGGGGTCTCCCATTCAGCAATGGAGCTCAACATCTGCTCTCACAAGAAGGCGTGTTCTTGAAGTTTCTGCAAACTGGGAGATGGGAGATAGTAGGCATTTAGGACTTTGGCAGAAGAACAAAAATACCAACAAAAAGTTTGCTAAGAGGAGAGAATTTTAAGTTGGTCTTTTTATTTTGACAGATTTTTTGTGAATCCAAGACTTTCTACTGAGTCAACCATAATAAAACTATTTCAACTTACTGGGAATATTATTTCTGAGTCACAGTAATACAATGATCAGAACATTTAAATGTTTTCAGTCACTAGTACATACTATCTTTACATCACAGCAGCATACTCTTAATGATAATATTTTCTATTGCACACCACACTATGAAAATACCACAAGTTAAAGACATTTCTTTTAATTCATGAAAGAAATGTTCAAACATCAGGTCCCAATTTCACAATGATTCTTTTTTTCCCTCAGAAAATATGCAAACAGTAAGTAATTCATGACTCATTTATTAAAAGTCCCATGATTTCAGTGTAAATTCCTAGTGAGGCTTTGGAATTGAGGCTTCCTTTCTACTGTTCCCATATTCTCTGAGTCATCAAGGTTTTTAGACATTGGCAGGAGAGCCTGTTCCTACATCCTCATAGTGTTACACGTGGCTAGGAAGGAATATAATGGCAGAACTTGAACTGTGAGTGAGTGTAAATACCATGTTTAGACCCAGGCATCGTGGCCCCAGCCCTCAGCCCTGGACTTTGCAAGGCTCCTCCAATTGTGATGTGCAAATAGATTTATCAGGATGTTGTTAAAATACACCTTGTGATTTGGGAGGTCTGGGGTTGGGACCTGAGAACTTGCATTTCTAACAAGTTCCCAAGTGCTGCTGCTGCTGCTGCAGGTTCACAAATCCACTGAGAATTATTGGTTTAATGACTCCCTCTGTCTTTCCTCCAGACACACCCCCTCCCCATAAGGTGAGTCTTTCATGCAATGCAGGGAACCTGCCAAACCAAAGCCTATGTCATTCCTTCTAAAGCAGGACTCCAAGAATTCCCTTCGCAGATCACTCTGTGGCCTATGCACACCTCTCCCCAGTCTATACACCCCATGGTAGATCCAGCCACCAGCCTGTACTTGTCAGGGTCTGAGGGCTGATGAAGAGACAGTTATGTGGAGGAGGCTTAGCTGTGTGGGCTGGGGTGTGCCCCAGGCAGAGCTCCTCCTGGTGCAGATTGAGGCTGAGGAAGAGAGAGGGAAGCGGTGGGCTCCAGCAGGCCAATGTTGGAATGGTCTTATATCTGTTTATATAACTGACAGGGAGAAATCCCATCCTTTATAGCAGCGGTTCTCAGCCTGTGGGTCACAACCCCTTTGGCGGTCGAATGACCCTTTCACAGGGGTCGCCTAAGACCATCCTGCATATCAGATATTTACATTACGATTCATAACAGTAGCAACATTACAGTTATGAAGTAGCAACGAAAATAATTTTATGGTTGGGTCACAACATGAGGAACTGTATTTAAAGGGCGAGCAGGTTGAGAACCACTGCTTTATAGCTTATTCCAAATTTAAGGTCATAGAATCACAGCTTGGATAGTTCTATTCATGAGGAACCATTGCATCCAAAGTGCTCTTCTGAGAACATGGGAACAATGTTTCCTTCCTTTCCATATAACCCTCCACAGCAATTTTCCCCAATGACCACACAATTTAGGGGACAGTGTGTAGTGTGTGGGGTTTGAGATGCCACAGGTTTTAGCTGAAATCTCGCTTTAACTTCTTGTGTGATTTTGAGAGTGTCAGTTACTTTTGCACAAGAGGCCATTCTTTGCCCTCAGTTTCTTGATCTTTAAAATGAGAATACAAATGCTTTCCTACTCTCTTGCACCTCTTCCCCATTTACACCCAACTTCTACTTTATCCTTCATCCATTAGCTCAAATCCCACCGTATTGATTAGATTAGGTGCCTCTAGATAATCTGGAAGTCACTGCACTTTTTCATTGCATTTGCAAACCTTTTTCTTTAATATTTGTCTTTTGTTTTGATTAATGTCTATTAACCCACTGGATATCAAGAGCAGGGGTCATATCTCCTTAATTTCCTTAATCGTGCCCTCTCTATCTGGCACAGAGGCCGGAACCTAAGAGATGCTAAATCCATGCTTGCTAAATGATCAAACAAATGTTTGGTTATTGTCACAGTTAGAGATAAAATATACTAAGTGACTGGCACATAGTAGGTGCTTAAGAAATGACATGGATGAGTTTTTGGTGCAATTGATATTATAATTAGACATTTTATCTTGTTTCCTCATACTTGATTCATGGAGGGAAATGGGGTGAATTTGGGACAGCCATGATTTGAACTGTCCAAGTCAAGAAAAAAAAATGTGGTGTGATAAACTACTGGCTTGAACAACTAGAATCATGATACACTTTTCAAAGGCTTAAGAAATGAAAACCCCACAATTTAAAACAAAGGGAAAAAGTACAAGTAAAAGTTTTGTTTGTCCATGTTGCTAGTTCCTCAGAACTCATGCCCCAAATAGTGCATCTTCTTAAAAGACATGTGGTGGATAACTCCTTTACCCAAGTCCTCACGCTGACATCCTCTGCCGCCTCCTCCCCCTCACTTCTTGGGGCTTATTTTATCTGTCCCTTCAATATCAGCCAGCCCAAATATTATCCTGTCAGATATTTCTGGGGCCTGTACTTGAAGAGACATTTCTTTTTTTAATGTCAAAATAAACCATCTGCTTGTACAACTGTTTCTAATTACTTTCCTGCCTAAACTCTCCACTTGAGGGGTTTGGCACCAGCACCCCGCCCAGAGCGGTGCTGCTGCCCAAATCTTCACAGGCGGCTCATCAACGCACTTGCAGCTCCCGGCAGAGCCCGGGACCTGCGCGCCGGAGTGTCCGCGTGTCCGTCTGCCCTGCCTTCTGCTGGTGGCACCTCGCCCTCCTGCAGCCCCCCCACTCCCCCACCCCCACCCCCGCTGTGAGCCCCTCCTTGCAGAAGCACAGCTCGCCTCCACAGCCCGGGAGCTCAGCATGCGTCCCGCGGGCTTCAGGAACTTCTTGCTGCTGGCGTGCTCCCTCCTCTTCGCGGGGCTGTCAGCTGTTCCTCAAAACTTCTCGCCATCTCTGAGGTAAGTTTGGTTTGTTATTCAAGACAGACTTGCCCTGCTTTGTGCGGCAGGGCTCAAGCCTGCAGGATGGCTGCCCTAAGGAAGTTGGACACAGGATGAATGTTTTCAACCTGCTCCCGTTCCTTTTCTATGCTGCGCGTGGCTTCTCTTCTGTTCTTTTTGCTTGTACTTTGGAAAAAAGAACCACCGAATAAATAAATAATTTCCTCCTACGCCAATACATATCTGGAGGAACTTCTGCCACGAGTTGAAGGTGGTTCTCTCTGTGTGTATCTATGTTTTACATTTTGTATTACATTTGTAAGAGACTTGGAGGCACATTGCAAAGCTAAACTTTTAAAAAGTATGGTTTATAAGCACTGCTTAATGCAACTTTAGAAAGCTCTGTGTCTTATGCTATCATAACCTGTATAGCCCTTTCTATGTATTCATTTCTTCCTTTTCATAAAATAACTGCCCCTGGCCATCAGGTAGTAATGGGGCTTTTCAAAAATAACTGAAAAGGCAGCTAAGGGTCATACTTTGGATTGATTTGTATTTAATCTTAATGTGCATGTAAGATTCGGGTACACACTTCCCAGGGGTAGGGCGGGACCACCTCTATCCAACCGGAAGATGGCCCTCTGCCTGGGTGGGCAGGTCATTTTGGGTCACGGTCATTCCTCAGGTGATAGCTTACGGGTGGTGCCCCTTGCCGGGGATGCCAGGGCACTTCCAGAGGAAGCTTGGCCCCCAGAGCAATGGGGGGCCTCGTGGGGTTCTGTCTGCATCTGGGTGGGCGTCGGGAGGAGACGCGGGCTCGGAGCAGCAGGAGCGGAGTCTGTGCTTGACCAGGGCCCTGCTGTGGTTTGTCGCCCATGCAGGAGCGGGCCAGGCGCCGCGTGCAGGCTGTCCCGGGCCGAGTCCGAGCGCCGCTGCAGGGCGCCCGGGCAGCCCCCAGGGGGCGCTCTGTGCCACGGCCGGGGCCGGTGCGACTGCGGGGTCTGCATCTGTCACGTGAGCGAGCCGGGCGTGTACTTCGGGCCCCTGTGTGAATGCCACGAATGGGTGTGCGAGACCTACGACGGGAAGACCTGCGCAGGTAAGGAGGGCGCCGTCTCCTCTCGCCGACTCACCCGCATGCGCGGGGGCCGGGAAACCCTCCTTCTGGGGCTGCCGCCTCTCCCCACGAGGGGAAGGGGCGGAGAAGTGTGGGGACTGACCTCTGCTCACAGCCCCCCCCCCCCAGGAAGTTACTGCCATCCCAAATGTATGCTTTTGTTAGTCAATTCTGGAATGATGCATGATAATACTTTCCTCCACCCTAGGGTTCAAACTTCAGTGGGAATAATATTTGCAAAATTCATTCACTTACCAATCTCACTTGTCTCTATTTTAGTTTCTTGTTACAGACGAAACCTCCCAACTTCCTCACAAATGGAGTTATTTTGCTGGGTTCCCCACTAACGTCAATCATAATATTTGCAGAACATAAGCCTGAGTTTTATTTTTACTAATGGTATTTACAGGGAAATACCATTTTCCTAAATTCCAGGGTGGGGCAGGCGGTGTCTTTGAACCCTGATTGGCCCTCTCATACTTAGGATATAGTTCACAGATATAAGTGCATATCGGGAACTGTGACAAGGAAAACATAAGTCGTCCATGTTTACTTAGAAGCGACTGCTTTTGTATTGTTTTAGCTGCGTGAAATTTTTAGCTGCATTGAAACTTGTTATTTTGTAAGGGTGGAGTGAAAATAAGTTCATTGCCTTGCACTTTTTTAAAAAATATATTGTTATTGATTTCAGAGAGCAAGAGCAAGGTAGAGATAGAAACATCAATGATGATAGAGAATCATTGATCGACTGCCTCCTGCAAGCCCCACACTGGGGATCGATCAAGCCTGCGACCCTGGCACGTGCCCTGACCAGGAATTGAACTGTGACCTCCTGGTTCATAGGTCGATGCCCAACTACTGAGCCATACGGGTTGGGCACCTTGCACATTTTTAAGTGATTTGGGCCCTGATTTTGGAAAGGGTCAAGTTATTTCTTTATAGAGAACACCCCACCCTCTACCAGTTTCACCTAAATATGCCATTTATTTAATGCCAAGAACCTCAATTAGGTCATTGTGAATGATACAGGCACTCCATTAGTAAAGGACAACACAACGCATTCCAACCAGGGTTTGGCATATTTTAGGGGAATAAAAATCACAACTTATTTACCCACAACATGTCTAAGAATAGAGTCCAACGCTAACATACAGAGATCAAAAATATGTTTATAGCAAAATGCTTTTTTCTTGGCACCTGGGCCCAGGAGAGCATAGAGGGAATACTTAATATGCAGGCTGCTTGGCAGTGGAAAAAATAGTCATATAAGTAATTCAATGGGCACAGGTGCTTCTGTGTGATTTGTTTACTCTAGGAAGGCTGTAGCTCAACCCTTTAAAAATAGTGAATGCCACAGCTTGTTATTTTAACTTCATCACTCCCATAAGCTTCAATACTTAGCTTTGGAATGAAAGCTAAGTATTGTCTAATATTTCATTCCAAATTCAACTTCTACCCTGCTTTTCTGGATTTTATTGCCTCTGGCAAGGCCTCCTCAATATCATGAGTTCTGAATACATTTTCTAAAGGGCATTTTCTATTGTTCTTTCATTGGAAAAGAAGAAGTAAGATGCGGTCTTCAACCAGTGAACTAGTCATCAGATCATCAGCTAAAATCAGACGGAACGCTGTGGTATACAGTGTTCTTGTTTATCTTCCATGGAAAGTGATTTGTTGTTTAACCATGACATCTTAGTCACTGCATTCCTTCCTCCCTGATAGAAAATGCAGTACTGAGTCACCCATGGCTTTGTTTGCTTGTGTGTTCATTCCTGTAGAAGGCAGCCTATGTCTCTTCATTTCAAGGTCGAATGAAATAACTGTTCATTTTCCATTCGCATCACTCTGACAGATGCCCTTTGAGGCCTGTGCTACAGGGCGGGGTGCAGAATCTGCCCCTGCAAATGCTCTGACTCTCTTTGCCTGGTCCAACGAGGAAATCCTTACATACAGACCACAAGACTACCTTGCCAGCTTGCCCACTTGTTCTTTGCTTTAAATTTAGCTTCTCAATTTCATCTTCAATTGTCCCCCCCTAGCCGGTTTGCTCAGTGGATAGAGCGTCGGCCTGTGGACTGAAGGGTCCCGGGTTCGATTCTGGTCAAGGGCACATGCCTGGGTTGTGGGCTCAATTCCCAGTAGGGGATGTGCGGGAGGCAGCCAATCAATGATCTCTCTCATTATTGATGTTTCAATCTCTCTCTCCCTCTCCCTTCCTCTCTGAAATCAATAAAAATATATTAAAAAAAATAAAGTAGTTCCAATATTATAGCTAGTAACATTGAAACATAGCAGGTTGTCTTTTTAAAAAATATATTTTAAGCATTGCTGTAATAATATTATGTTTTACACATATACACATATTAATATGTATTGAGCACTGCCTTTGCACAAAACACTGTTCTATGTGGTTTACATATGGTAAACCTCACAACAATTATGTAATATAAGTACTGCTCTTATCCCATTTTACAGACAATGAAATCAAGTTTAAGTAACTGCCCAAGTTCACATAGCTGATTTAAATCCTGGAAAATTTCCTCCAGAGGACAAAGTGTTAACCACTCTAAGATACACTACCAGAGCAGAATTTTATTTTCTTCACAGGGGTTGGAGAGGTCTCTGGAAGCTACTCTATTTCCAGGGGCTTATCCTAGAGGTGAAGGCCCAAGTACCCATCCTATATATTAAAACCCTAATATGCAAATTGACCAAACAGCAGAATGACTGGCAGAAAGACCGGTTTCTATGATGCACACTGACCACCAGGGGGCAGACACTCAACACAGGAGCTGCTCCCTGGTGGTACTCCCACAGGGGGAGCACCGCTCAGCCAGAAGCAGGGCTCACAGTTGGTGAGCACAGCGGTGGTGGCGGGAGACTCTCCCATCTCTGTGGCAGCGCTAAGGAGCAGCGAGCAGGCAAGCAGTAAGGAGCAAGGGATCCCTGACTGTGAGAGGGCGCAGGCCAGGCTGAGGGAATCCCCACCCCAGTGCACGAATTTCATGCATTGGGCCTCTAGTAAAACATAAAAGACAACCTGCTGCCCTAGCTGGTTTGGCTCAGTGGATAGATAGATGAATGGATGGACGGACGGACGGATGGATGGATGGATGGATGAATAGATAGATAGATAGATAGATAGATAGATAGATAGATAGATAGGAGGAGAGAGAGAGAGAGAGAGAGAGAGAGAGAGAGAGAGAGATGGCTTGGCTTTGTATTTGTTGGGCATTTGACTCAGTGAAGGCAATTTAGTTTTCTTAGTGTAGTCTGGTCCTGTTGTTATTGATCCAGAACTCAAAAGGTCGAGCAAGGATAGCTATTTTGGCCCAGCCTCACAGCAGCTGTATGAGATACACCATGCCCTTTTAAAGTTAGGTCCGTTGGGATTCTAATGCTGTGAATCACAAGAAACATAGTTATTTTAGTTTGAGCTGATTGAAAGTGATTGCATTTACAAGATCACAAGTGGTCTATTTCTTCCAGTATTCACTTGTTCCTGGCCCATGCATCTTCCTTAGACTTCAATAGCATGAAGCCTGGCCCAATGATTGGTCATGAGGGTGTTATATTCTAATAAGGAGTAACCTAATTTTGGTGAAGTATATCTTGGAGAATAGTAAAATGTTTGGTTACATAAAAAAAACCTTTCAGTTAATATTTCAAGGCATCCCTGGAAACCCCCAACAGCTATGATTACACTTAAATAAAATAATTGGTTTCTTAAAAGATCTTTTCTAATCACTTTTAATATAAGTAGGTCTACAGTTGTATATTAAACAGTTTATTCTTATATTATTTTTTAATTATTTTCCATACTAACAAATGTAAACCTACTTTTGCCATACCCCTGTATATGTATGTGTGTGTTATATATATATATATATATATATATATATATATATATATATATATAATCACTTAAAAGAGTTTCAGTTTTGCCCAGCTGGCACGTCTCAGTGATTGAGCATCGACCTATGAACCAGGAAGTCATGGTTCAATTCCCAGTCAGGGCACATGCCTGGATTATGGGCTTGATGCAGGAGGCAGCTGATCAATGATTCTCTCTCATCATTGATATTTCTCTCTATCTCTCTCCCTTCTCTGAAATCAATAAGAATATATTTCAAAAAAAGAATATATATTTTTTTAAAAGTTTCAGTTTTAATAACTGGGAAGAGCTAACTGAATTCAGCAAACACTTATGACATGCTGTATATCTCTGCTATTGAAGGGGGGCAGAAAGTTGAGGAGAGCTTCCCATTGAGTAGAGAGGTCAAGAGAAACACCAAATACCTATAATTCAATGCAGAATATAATTTCTCCAAATTTCTTTGAGGATTCCTTTAAGGCAGAAATTAAATGTTGTGGTATTGTGGTTAGACATTCTGGAGAATATGGTAGCACATCCATCTTTAAGTTTAGGAAGGTTTTTATTTCAAAAGGTGGATGGTAGGAATTCTGAGTGAAGAAAAGTTCAAGCAAAGGCGTAGAGAAAGAAAAGTATGTGGGTGTTTTTGGGGAATAGTGAGGGATTCTAGGTTTGGCTTGGCTGGATCCAGGACAGTAGGAAAAGTAGAAGATACATTGAGAGTTATAGATGGATATATTGTGGAGGACTTTGAACGTGGATGTGAAGTTTGTGCTCAGGTAAACATATGGGAGCCATGAAGTGGCTGAACATGGGAACTGTGGTTAGTGCTCAAACTCATGACAGGTAATGTGGTGCCTGAGGGTAGACACAAATTGTGGTAGACACTCGAGGGGAGGAACTCTGTTTAGATGCCACTTATATTATAGTCCAACTGAGAGAGAATAAGGTTTGAATTATGATGAATTTTAAACACTTTGAAACCTGCTCCTTAACACCCTCTCCAGTAAAGGAATGTGTTGAACAGACAGACTCTGATTGCCTCCTTTCATGTACTAAGTATTTTCATCATGGTCCTAACATCTCCTGTAGTTTCTATTTATTTATT